ATTGCCATCAATTTGTAATTCTACAAAATTGAAATAAAACAGACAGATGTAAGAATGTTAGCAATTTAATTTGTCAAAAATTTAGTCAGGGTAGAGAACAATGCATGCACAGGGGCACAACAAAATGTTCTAAATCTCAATTTCATACATTTAATTTAGATGATTAGATGACACAAATGCCTTGTAATGCACTACAACTATTAGTTACAATACAGTATACATTAAAAAGTGTTACCAACATCAACTACACCTTGGATGATTGAAAATCATACACAGTCAAGACTAGCAGATAACATTTCTCATAACATAAGATTAACTTGTAACATAAAATGTCAGATACAAGATAAAAATGTCCAAATCAGACAACAAATAAACATTTTAAATTGGTCACTGACAGTTAATTTTATAAATCTATAGTATGTTTGTCATTTTTCTTCATAATACAAAAGCATTTGTAATGCACTAGCTATTAACCACAGTATTCATTAAAAAGTGTTGCCAACATCAATTAAACTTACGGTTAACAGAAACAAGACCAGAGGATAACATTTCTCATAAAATAAGATCAACTTAATCTCATAAGAAAGTCAGATACTTTTTGATACATATAAATATAAAAATTTTAGTTCAGACAAACATTCAGGCACATATTTTTAAATTGTTCTCAATGACAATCAATGTTGTAAATATTGTAAAATTGTAAGTGTGCTAATTGTGAAGTAATACACTTATAAAATGTCAGATACAAGATAAAACTTTCCAAATCAGACAACAAATAAACATTTTAAATTGGTCAATGACAGTTCATTTTATAAATCTATAGTATGTTTGTCATTTTTCTTCATAATACAAAAGCATTTGTAATGCACTAGCTATTAACCACAGTATTCATTAAAAAGTGTTGCCAACATCAATTAAACTTACGGTTAACAGAAACAAGACCAGAGGATAACATTTCTCATAAAATAAGATCAACTTAAAGGGTTAGTTCGCCCCAAAATGAAAATTAGGCTGTGTTTTACTCACCCCTGATGCATCCTAGGTGTATAAGACTTTCTTCTTTCAGACGAATCCAGTCGGAGTTATATTAAAAATGGTCTTTGATCTTTAAAGCTCTATCGTTGCACTCAGCGGGTGTTGCATTCCTTCTGTTCAAAAGACGTGAAATAAAAAGCACCCTTCCACAAAAAAAAGTGTCTCACACAGCTCCGGGGGGTGAACAAAGGCCTCCTGAAGCGAATCGATGCGTTTTTGTAAGAAAAATAGCCATATTCAAAACATAATAATCACTTTAATGTAGCTTGCGCCAACAGTTGTACACAGAAGCAGTTCCGGGCGGATGACGTATGAGGTCAGCGTTATTAGTTTTTTCTTTTTCGAAGGACATCCTGGGATTTAGAATTAGTTATGTTCTGTCATTGTTTTCCGAACTGTGTTAAATTTGAGTGATTATAGGTGTATTTTACCGTTAAAGTGGGTAACAGTTGGCTTTGCTGAGCAGGCTCGACATTTTCGCGCCCACTGGAAGTTTATCCCAGTCAGGCTTCGTGCGTTTGAGTTGGTATTCGTTACTGTTTATTATTTTATTTTTTTATCAACCGTTCAAGCGGGGATAATATAAGTTAACTTGAGGTAGACGAAGCCCGAGCTGTTTTCTACGACGCATGAACTAATCGTCACCAGTTTTGTCAGTTTGTTCTATTAAAACTAGATGAACATATGAAACTTCTTAATATGATTTAAGAGACCACGATTCAAACTAGTGTTAACCTTGTTCATTTGAATTGATCATCATATATTTTATATATAATTTTGTTTTACGATTGCAAATTGCTTACTGGTAACAGATTACAGGTAACAGTAAATGCAAACAAATGCATTATGTTGTATGAATCGGTCATATTTTAATCATGAACAAAAAGTCTGTAAAAGTGTTGTGTAACTTACATTTTTGGGCTTAACTGTAATTAGCAAGTAACCAACAATTTCCCGTTTACCTCACTTTGTAGGCTATGACTGAGCACATTACAGTGAGGTTCACCATCCATCTTAATATATTTTTTTAGGCAACTCAGGTTATTAAAGGGTTATGAGGCTGTTGTATAGGACATGTCTTTGCTTGTGTGTGTGTTGTTTACAAGTAAATTTAAGTTGAATAATTTTTTGTTTTTTTTTACAGGCATACGCTTGGGAGTCTGAGACTGGATGAAGGGTGAGTTTTGGATTTCTGTACCAAATAAATAATATAAACTATATCTTAAGATAAGTCAATATTTTAACCACTTTAAAGTTGTTGTTTTTCCCCCCATTACATATGTTTTTCTCTTTTTATAGGCAAACATTTGACTGTGAGTCTGAGACTTGATGAAGGGTAAGTTTTGCATTTATGTACTAAATAAATAATATAAACCATATCTTAAGATAAGCCAACATTTCAACGACTTCTAATTTTTCCCCCTACATTTCTATCATTAGATCATTAGACAGCTGAGTTCAATCAGTGTCCGGGTCATAGGGTGGAAGATGTAGGAGCGAGGAAACAATTTCGCTGCAATTGGAGATGCAGATCCACCGGTCAGTGTGGTTTGGCCTATTAAACGGATAGTTCACCCAAAAATGAAAATTCGGTCATTAATTACTCACTTTCATGTCGTTCCACACCTGTAAGACCTTTGTTCATCTTCAGAAGACAAACGAAAATATTTTTGATGAAATACGAGGGCTTTCTGTTCCCCCATTGGCAGCAACACAACTAAAACATTCAAGGTCCAGAACGGTAGGAAAGACATCATTGAAGTAATCCATGTGACTCCTGTGGTTTAACCTCAATTTTATGAAGCAACACGAGAACTATGTTTGTCCAAAAAAAAAATTATTATTTTCCACTTTATTTACAATAAAATATTATTCAAAGCTTGTTCATGCTACAATGTTAACTCTAGCGTGAACACAACATACATGCATCCTGATGCTCTTATGAGCTTGTGTGGCAGATCAATATTTTTAGAAAATAAAGCGGTAAAATGTGTTTTTTGCACAAACAAAGCATCTCTTCTCAGGTGTTCTGGATCCAGACTGAAGCTTGTGTAAATCCTAGTTACATCCCGTGGCAAAAAACAGAGAAACAAATACAAACATAGTTAGCGTAGCTGCTGTTCCAACCAAGCAAAATTGATTTGTTTAACCCAAACTAAAGAGTAATAATGTGCATTTGATTAGATATAACTGCAGTAAAAGATTATGAGATGCATTATTTGAATGCTTGGCCAAAGAGATGTGTCTTTAATCTAGATTTAAACAGAAAGAGTGTGTCTGAACCCCGAACGCTATCAGGAAGGCTATTCCAGAGTTTGGGAGCCAAATGCGAAAAAGCTCTACCTCCTGCTACAATGTTAACTCTAGTGTGAACAAAACATACAGGCGTCATGATGCTCTTATGAGCGTGTGTGGCAGATCAATATTTTTAGAAAATAAAGCAGTAAAATGTGTTTTTTGCACAAACAAAGCACGTGCATTGCTTCATAAAATTGAGGTTAAACCAGAGGCATAACTTTTATTCTCGCTGTAGTATTGTTGCTGCCGCCGCCATGTCTTGGAGACGCTGTGTGTTTCGTTGTGAAAGCGAAACTACTTTGTTTGGCCTTCCAAAAGAGGACACAACTAGAAATCAGTGGTTAAGTTGTATTTACAACACTGTTCCAGAACACTTCAACCCAAATATACAGCAGTGTGCAACAGATTTTATGGAGGACGAGGACTGTTTCCTGGGAGAGTAGCCTACAATGCTGGTGTTCCGGTGAATTCAGTTCCCCTGTTTCCCCTTCGGCATGCATGCTGACCACAGTCTATGATGCTGACAAATAATGCTGACTCACAGCCTGTAAGTACATTTTTCTTATTTAAAGTTAAAGGATTTGCCACTGATGATTCAAACGCGCGTTTTGAACAGTGTAGAGTAGCGCTTGTTGTTTGTCGTTTCTCCGATCACAAATGTAGACATGTTTTTTGGACGTCCACAGAATTTAGCTACAACTTACCTGGAAGTTTCTGGTATGCCTAGTAATACCTTAGTTAACTGATTCAGATATTCAGATG